GGAGGAGGAGGAGGAGGAGGAGGAGGAGGAGGAAAATTAACTCTGTAGCATCACTTTCTTGTTGTGGTAGCTTTGAGATGTGTGATACAGAAGAGCTGCCCAGTCTCCTGACAAGATGAAAACCAAAGGATTAAAAAAAACTAAATCAAGATTATTTTTTTAAAAGGAAGGAGAAAAAATAATTTAAGACAAATGCCCAAAAAATTGCAAGTGGATGAATAGGGCATTTAGCACTGACAAAAACACAGGGTCTCAAATGGAGTGCTATGGGGAGACTAGGCACAGATCAGAGCTCAGGTAGCTTAAGATGGTATGAAACATATAAAATGGAGCTTGCACCAAAGCACTTTCCAATAAAGAAATTCTTTGAAGCTGTTAGCAGACACATTCAGAATATCAGAATCTGTAAAGCAGACTACCATGCTTTAAACCAGATCTCAGAAAGTAAATCCTGAGCTAGGAATCTCACTTTACTTCAGAGAGGAGAGATTTCCCCAGTTTGCTTCTCTAGGTAGCTTCCTAAAACTTTCATCCAGAGTTTTAGTAGAACCTCCTCTTAGCTCTTATTGATACTCTAGAGATTTCAGGGCCATGGTTCTGTACCGTTTCTCACCTCCAACCCAGAGACACTTGGCTCTGTCCTTTCCACAGGCCTCAGGAAGTCCATTCTGTTTCTCTACACTCACTGCTTCCTACTCACACCCTTCATTCAAACATTCATCCTTAATGTCCTCCCCCCTCAAATTCTTGGCTCTGATTCGCATCCTCTCTCCCCTCCAGTCCCAGAGAAAGTTAGCTTCTGCTCTTACCATGCTTTCCTCCTCCTTGAAGAAGTGCTTAGCTCTCTATTTCTCCTGGAAACCAGCTCACCAAAAACATGTGGCTATTTCCCCATTTCCCACATTTTCCAGCAATCTCTCTCATGCAATCTCCCAGGGGGGAAAAAAAATCTTTCTTTTGCTTGGCATAAAGGTTTTAACCAACAAGGGCAGGGCCGAGGGGCTTTCTTTAGCCCTTATCTAGACAAGTCTGGATGTATCTCCCTTGCCCTCTCTTGCTTAGAGATGTTGAATCCATGTCTGGAAATCAGCTATTAATCTTATGATGACAGGAGAGAGTGGAGTTGCGGGGGGAGAGGGTTTACCTGAGTGTATCTGGATTTGCTTGCCCATTCACTGCAAAGATGATAAATAAACTTTAGGTTTCTCAAAAACAAGCTTCTTCCTGAATGAAAAAAAACCCTTCAACAAATGATAAACAACCATTAAAGAGAAAAGGCGTCGTTTCTGTAGAAACTTCACAACAAAGTTGTAGCCACTGAGAAGGCCCTTCCCTCGGTAACCAGGCATTCAACATAGTTGGAGCACAGAGAAGGTTCTTTTCATAAGAACTGAGGGCATCGGCAGCATATAGAGGAAGAGAAAGTCTGTAATGTCTCTTGGTCTTTGCCAGTTTAGCTCTGAATATGACAGGAGCCGAAATGGTAACTAGTGCCAAGGGAGCCACCTTTCTGGAAAGCCAACATTTCATAGTAATAGTTTCTGATGAAAGGAAATTCTCCCTCTTCGCTAAGAGTCCTTTACATTCCCTGCATGAAAGGGGCATCAAGGCAGTGATGCCCCTAAAACTGGACCTCAAGGGCAAAGTCCAGGCCTACCTGCTGAAGGGGATCCCAAATGACTACTGTATTCAGATAGTGGCAAGTAAAGGAAGAAGGAACAGTTCATTCTTGCTTTGTTTGTAGTGATTTTTAGAGCATTTTCTAACATATCTTAGGCCCATTCACTCCTGTGTTGAAAACCCTTCTCTCCAGTGGGCACTATTTGCTCCTCTGCAGGAAACAGGGCTTCTTATGTTTTTATTAAACGCAATAAATAAGATAGATGGTTACATAGTTGATGGTATCAAATGCTGCCAGAAAGTGAAATAGCACCAGCAGGAATGTATTCTCCCCAGGTCCTGACAGGCATCCATCAGAGTGATGAATGCCATTTCTGTCTCATGCCCAGGCCTGAAACCTGACTGGAAACCTAATCGGTTTTCTCTAGAGAACTCTGCAGCTGAAGCCATTAGAAAAGGAAGGTTGGATTTTTATTCAATAGACCTAGATCCAGAGAATTCTTCTTCAAAAGAGAATGCACCAGAACTTGCTTAAAACTAGCCAGGACAACCCCATTCACCAATAAGGCAGCAACAGTTTCATGGATCCACTGGTCTACTCTTGTCTCTTCTGGTCACCCAAAAGAACCAGGAGGGCATGATCAAGCTCACAGATAGTGTCTTATTCCAGAGAACACCCTATGCATCACAATATACAAGCCAAAATCAATCCCAGATAACCATACAAGACACTGCCCCAGTCATGACATCAAATTCTGCCAATGAGGTAGATAGTTCAGCCTCCACCTTCAGGAACTTTTGGAACATGCTGAAGTTACAATGGCTCACAGAAAAAGAGATCCAACTTCAAAGAAACTCCATGTGGACCCAAAAGAAAAAGAATCCAATGGGACAAAAAAAATAAGAAAGTTAACAAACAAACAAACAAAAAACAATATAAACCAAAATAAATTCCATAGTATTTCCAACATGGCAACAAACATGTTCCTTGGGTGCCAATGTTTTTTTTAAAAGAATGCTACAGGTATATTGTGCAATATAGATGTATTGATCTTAAGATCCTGAAATTAATACTTATGTATTTATGCAATTTTCTTCTAGTTCTTTCAGAAGATAGTACAACAACTTCCATCCAGCCTTATGAAGAAGTGCAAACCTCTGTTACAGATCTCTTGGATCAACAAGACAACTTGGGAAGGTCGTTAAAATGTCATCAAAGTAGGGAGCTACCCAGAATTCCTCCAAATAATGGCATAGAAACGATTCTTACCACAAGAACTGTAGAAAATGACCAGAGTCTGGGAATGGAGGGGCCCTATGAAGTGTTGAAAGATAGTTCCTCTCAAGAGAACATAGTAGAAGATTGCTTGTATGAAACTGTGAAGGAAATTAAGGACCTGGGAGCAGCAGCCAACTCAGAGAAATGCAAACCAAAGACCACAGTGATGGCTAATGGAATTTTAGATCATGTTCTTGAGCAGAAGACAGAATCAGCAGAATATGCATCCGTTGACAGAAATAAAAAAAGTTGTCAGAGTGTTAATTCAGAGAGTCCTCTTAGCAGTAATACTCCAGATGTGGAAGATGAAGCTCCACCTCCTGTACCAATAAAACTTCTTGATGAAAATGAGAATGTACAGGATAAAGGAGCCAAAGAAGAGGAAGAAGTAATGGAAAGGCTTAGTGAACCTGACAAGGTATACGTTATTTTGTGTAATCATTATAACAAAGTGCACTTGAGGTTTGTGCATATACTATGGCAAATGCTGTTGTTCATTAGTAAATATATAGTTAATTTTTTGTTGGTATCTTCTTCTGGTGCAAAATCTTAAGATCAAAAACAGCAATATTTGTGTGATCTATGTATAATGTGTGAATGTTCATATGTGCATTCATAAATGAAGGATAATATTCAAATAGCTAGAGGAAGGCACGGAATTGTATGCAATTGGTGACAGTTTCAAGAGTACTGAAACTTACTGCTTCCTAAAATTTTTGGAGACATTTGCATGAATGGTTCTTTTTCTTCAGCATCTACCCAGGAGACACATGCTTGCCAACTGAACATTAATTAGTCTAATTAGTCTATCCCTTGTTTTGAAATGTTCCAGATAATCTGTATTAAGAGCAGAAGGAATTCAAAGTGTTACTGTTGGCCAACATCTAGCCAGCCAATATAACACAAAATGTGGGAGAGAACAGAATCATGGGGTGGAATATAAAGTTACACAGCTGAATGTTGCTCATGTGATATGGTTTCCTTTGCTCTCCTCTCCTCTGCAGACACTCAAAAACCTTCAACATTCGTTCCAGAAAAATAGGATGAATCATACCCTACTGTTCTCATTGTTCATGAAAACTTGCAGTTGGATTTCTCCCCTGGCCTCCAGACTTTTGATCTAATTTTAGATTTAAGTGTATCCACAATTTTAATTTGTAACAAAAACAAAGAACTTTCTCTAGTTCTTCCCCCAAAGACCCAACTGTATATAGCAGCATGAATTTCTATTAAGTATATTACAGATTAAAATATGTAAAATAAATCAGTTTTCATGAGATGCAATCTGTCACATTTTAAATAATATTTAAAACTATTTTGAAAAACTACTTAAAGGAAAACAACAAATGAGGGAGTTACTTATCCCTACAACTCTATCCAGGATTATAGCTCACCAATGATGAACAAATTAGTGTTGTTTTTCTGGCTCAAATCCTAGAATTTTACAATGATGATGATGATGATGATGATGTTTGATGATCAAAACTCATTTGATGTTAAACAACTCAAAGAGTTCATTGGTACTACTCAAGCAATTGGAAAATGTTCATATCTTGTTCCTATGTTTTCTTCCATCACTCACACAATGAATCTTGACAAAATGATCATAGAACTAATCTATTAACCCCCCCCCCTTTTTTTTCAAATCAGTTGTCCAAAGAGCCCGATTGTTGATGGGTGGATAGGCAGGGAGGAGGACTGAATCTTAGTCTAATTATTCTACATGAATCAAGTGCAGGATAAGTTAAACACATGCACACACAGAGTAGCATTACTTAGCATTATATTTAAAGCATTCATAATTTCTTAGCCACGGTATAAATATAGACTGGGAAATCACAATACTTCTATATGATTTTTAGACATTGATACAAATAAACATATTAGCTGTAAAGTAGATTTTCAGCTCAAGACAAATACCATGTCAGAAAACATAAAAAATGAGAATGTGTGGCAGTATTTCTGCCTACAAGAATTAATCAAGAAGTGACACCTTCAGTCCCTTAAGAGCAGTTTTTGTATAGCTGAAATGTACTGTACTCATGGAATAAAAGTCTTCCTGAAATCGGCTACATAGACTTCTAGTCACCTCTTCGTAAAAATACCACTAAATAAACTGCCCTATACTTTAGAAAAAAACAACTATAGCTGAGTGAAAAATAGTTTTTTGAAGTGATTGAATACATAAATATTATTTTAAGCTTTGAGTTGAGGCTGTGTTAAATTACAGTATTCTAATTTTCAATCCTCACATTATCTTTATGTAATCATGCATGACTATTCTTTCTTCCAAATATAATGCATTTTCATTTAAAAATTAATATCTTACCTTTTGAAGAAAGAGCTCAAGCAGGATAACAACAATAAAAGTTAAAATTATAAAAAACATGATAATAAAAGCACAATTTTTTTTAGAACCTCCAATTTTTTTTAAAAAAAATAAGATGGTAAAACTCTTTACCTAAGGATAAAACTTAATAAAAAGGACTGTGCTGGATCATATCAAATGACTATTAGGGTTAGAAAATCCCTACAAAAACCTCCTCAAGACATGAGCACCACAGTACCACCTTATACACATATTAGTGTTCCCCAGCATAGTTATTCAGAAGCAGTGTATTGGAGGAGGTATCTAGGCATTATTAATATTTGCCATTGACAAACTCATTGACCATGAGTATGCCCAATCCTTTTAAACTCATCCAAAATGTGGACATACCTTATGGCAGCAAATTCTGTATTATAATTGTATGTTAAGAAGTATTTCTTTTTATAACCTGATCTCCCATCATGCAGTTTCATTGGATGACCATAGATTCTAATACTATAAACTAAGGAGAAATTTTTTACCTCTTGGTTGATCTCAAGAAGATTAAGTTCAGTACTGGTTAGTGCTTGGATGGAAGAACACCAGAAGAAGGCTAGGATGGGAAGTGAAATCATCCCTAGAAAACACCCAATTCTAAATTGTTGCCTAGAAGACAAAACATAGTCACCCAGAGCCAAGGCCACCTTAAGGAAGACTTTACTATACATTTTCTTCATGCCATGCTTAATATTGTACACTTCTGTTGTGTTCCACTTACTTAATACTCTTTTTAAGTTAAAAAATCAGAAATAGTGTAAATTTCCTTGCTCCAGTCCCATGCATGCTTATCAATTGCTGCTCATCCAAACTGGAAAAATCCTTTTGGAGTTCTTAACTCTTGCTTTTCCTTAGCTATCCCAGATACCTTGCTTTCACTGATTGACTTGATTTATACTATTGTCTATTTGTTGTTGGGGAACAGGAAAAAAAACTATTCTCAGTATCATTAGAGGTCCCCACATTTCTAGCCTTCTACTTGTTCCTACTCTCTATTTTTTGTTCCTTAATCAGTTGGATATCTTCTCTTATCCTGTACCTGCTAGATTTGCTGAAGAATTTCTGATGTCAGCTTTGTTAAAAGCCTTTTGGAAATCCAGATGATTATCTGTGTGTCACTCCTATTCACCAAATCTGAAAAAAAATAATAATGAGATACTTCTCTTGCACAAGGTTTTTTTTTCTCAGCAAGGCTTGATAATTTTATCCTTAATGATACTTTCTGTTAATATGTTTCAAGGGGTTAAGCTAATTTGCCCTGATGCCTTTTAAAAATCACTGAAAGAAGCCAATGTTAGAGAAATATTTATTACCTGTTTTTGTTAGATCACAGAAGTTTTTCAGTAGGATGTATAACTTAATTTCTCAAACTCTAACCCTAGCCCCCTCAAACCCTAACCCTAGCCCCCTTATATCTTTGGCAGCAAAGGCAGATAAAACAATTCAGCTTCTTTACTAACATTTCGGTATCCTTCACATCCAATGCTCAGTCATAAAATAGCCAGTTTCCTGCTTCTGATATAATTTAAAAAGCATTCAGTGATCTTAATATTGATAGCAATATCTTCCTCCTTCCACTCCTTCCTAGAGTCTTTGTCTCTTCCCTGAATGGAAGGATTCCTATGGTTTGGAAAGGGCAATCAGTTTTTTAGTCTTGCATCTTCTTCCTTAGGAAGGAGCTGTAACTCAGTGGCAGATATGCCAAATGCTTTGCATCTTCCTAGAATGTCTTGGGGTGGTTGGAACAAATTCAGGAAAACCTGTAGAATTGCTGCGAGTCATTGAAAAGATAATGTTGACCAAGATATACCAGTAATCTGAAAGCATAAGACAGCTTGAGTAAGGGGATGGTTCTGCCTACCTTGCAGGAGGTGATGGTATGCCCCTTCCTCAAGAAGCCATTGCTGGACCCAACAGTGCTAGAAACATTTGTCCAGTCTCCAGCCTTCCCTTTCTAGGAAAGTTTGTTGAGAAGGTGGTCAGATTTCAGCTTCAGATGACCCTGGAAGAAGCAGATTATCTGGGCCTTTTCAGTTAGGTTTCAGGTTGGGAATAGAATAGAGATGGCATTGATAGCCCAGCTCAATGACTTCTGGCAGAGCCAGGATAGTGATAGTGCAACTGTCTTGGTTCTTTTTGCTCTCTCACAGCCTTCCTTCATTATATACTTCTGCACTGACTGCAGGGATTAGGAGTGGGAGGCAGGGTGATGTGATAATTCTCCACCTTTCTCCATGGCTAGTTCCAATGAGTACTTACAGAGTGGGAGAGACATTAAACCTGAACCCCCTGATTTGTGTGATGCCACAGGTCTCAACACTCTTCCCTTCCTGCTTAATATTTACATGGAGCTACTGGGTGAAGTCATCTATCAAGATGGGATCAAGTATCATCAATATGCTGAAGATATCCAATTATATATCTTGATCCTGGAATGACCAAGTGATGCTGTCAATGTCTTGTCCCATGCCTGAAGACTGTTGGGCCCTGGATGGAAAAGAACAGGCTTAAACTCAACCCTGATAAGACCAAGTAGCTATGTGTTCCTGGACCTCCCGCTACCATAGATTTTCCATCTTTGATTCTGAATGGGGCATAATTGTGCACATTGGGGCACACTTTGAGTTGCAGCTCTTGCTTGAAGAGCAGGTGGCAGCTGTGGCCAGGGGGGCTTTTGCCCAGATTCATCTGGTATTCTGGTTATGCTCTTTCCCAGACTGGGGATACCTTCTCCCAGTCACTCACACCTTAGTCACCTCATGTGTGACTATTGCAATGCATGCTACATGGAGATGTCACTGAAGTCCACCCAAAAGCTGCAGCTGGTCCAAATGTGGCAGCACAGACAGTTATATGCTTGGTATGCCCATGTAAAACCTCTGCTGCATGAGCAGCCTTGCTTCCAGGTGCAGTTCACGGTGCTGGTTATGACCTACAGTATAAAGCCCTTCATGGCAAAGGACCTTGCTATTTGTGGGATTGCCTTTCTTCCATTGCTTCTGCCTATCCAGTAAGATCTGGCTGAGTGGGCATGCTCCAAGGACCATCTTTAAAACAATGTCATCTGATGAGACGCCCTTTATCACAGTACTTGCCCTCTGGAATAGTATCCCCCAAGAGATTCAAGTTGGCCTGATCATGCTCTCCTTTAAACAGGCCCTGAAGACCTGGCTCTTTCCCCAAACCCTGGATTGGGGAAATAAGTGCCTTCTGTGGGAATATTATTAATGTGCTGGGTCTTTGAGTCTCCACATTATTGCTTTCTTTTTGCTTTTATTGTACTGGGTGTATTTTTAACTTGAATGACACCCAGAGTTGGTGTCATTGTTGGGTCAAGGCTGAGTTGGGCAGCCTTGTAAATCTGATTTATAAATAAACAGATGATACTGTTAAGACAGAGAAGCATGCAATAACTGAAGCATAAAGACATTTGGGAAAGGTCAAAGGTTTATCAATTTCATAAGCATTCACTGTTACAATTTCCTCTAAAAGATCCCACAAACTGGAACCGTGCCTGCCTCCTGTTTCTTTGCAGCCTTCAGCCAGATACGGCCCTTTTTCAAGCTTGGTCTTTCTTTTGCCAGCTTCTCCTCCCACCCCAAATTAACCGTTCCATTCTGTTTCATTTTCAGAGGGTTATCCTCCTGAGAGCCAGCCAACCAAATGGGCAGACAGACTCCTGAGCCCCTTTCCTTACTTTCTTTCTGACATTATATTAGATTGGAAAGAATAAGCAACAGACATAACTGCATTCCAAATATTGGCAATGTGTAATTTTGACTCTTTTTTTTTAATTAATAAACCATGGGTTTATTTGAAGGCCTTTTTATTGTATTTGGGATTTGTTTTTCTTTCTTTCTTTTTTTTCCTATCTACCTCATTTTGAGTACTTACATGTAATTTACCTCAGAGTATAAAGTTCAGACTGTCTTATGTTAAGGTAATCTTATTTCCTGGGCTTTTAATGAACTATTGTGTTATCCAATGATTATATTATGTGGTTGGCTTCACTTTATGTTCTGTTTTATCTCTAATTGTTTTTTCTATTGTTTTACAGTTTTATGTTGTCATTTGGGCTTTGTGAAAAAAATCAGAATAGAAATAAAATTACCAAAAATCATAGCAAAATAAACTGCTGTGAACAATTAAGTATTTTCACAATTCTGAGTTTGGGCTGTCAAGTGAGGCTCAGTAACTGAATAGAACTTGTTCACTTTGTTAGAGCTAAGAAAATACCACTGAAATAATATTAATTATTTAATTCAATAAAAATGCAAAGGAAATTCCTGCAGTCAGTCAGAAATTTGGTTTCAAATGCTGAAATATAGACTTCTGCTGTCTCAGTCACATTTCAGTGAAAATTCAAACATTCAATAGAATTCAGTAGAACAGATATTAGTGCCATTATTGGATCATTTCACCCCCAACAGTTTCTGCCGCATCTGAAAATTCTGCTTAAGGCTGCTTACCTTCAAATTTCAGCTAATGAAAAAGTGACAGAAGAAAGAAAGAAAGAAAGAAAGAGAGAGAGAGAGAGAGAGAGAGAAGAAAGAAAGAAAGAAAGAAAGAAAGAAAGAAAGAAAGATTGTTTCTTTGTTTCTTTGTTTCTTTGTTTGTGGAAGGCATTATCTTTTAAATAAGGTTTATTTTC